CTGTCTCCCTCCCTCTTTCTCTCTTTTCCCCCTTCCTCTTTCTCTCTCACATCAATGTCTGTCTGTCTCTCTGGCTCCCTCCCTCTCTCTCTTTCTCTCTCTTTCCCCTTTCTCTCTCACATTAATGACTCTCTCTGTCACACACTCACACATACACATGGATGGAGGACCAGCTGCAGGGCCAGTATGAGAAGTCATCTTTGGCATCTCTCTACTCCCTGGAAGAGGGTGAGGTGGGGCTTGAGCTGATAAAGCCCGAGACTGCGGGATGATTTTTCCCTTTTGTACATTTCCATCTGGCAGTTTGTCGGAGTGCTCTTTCACGGTGGAGGGCTGTTGGGAGCTGGCAGACGCCCTGGAGCACAATCAGAACCTGGAGGTGCTGGACATCGGGAGAAACTGTGTTCAGGATGATGGAGGGAGGCGGCTGTGCGAGGTTCTGAAGTGCTCGAGCTGTGTTCTGAGCACACTTGGGTGAGTCAGTGCTGTTCTTTGGCAGGGAAGCCCCCTCTCACTCTTGGGTGGGGACAGGTACTGTCTGGTCGTGTGGTGGGGGTACAAGGGTGAGACTTGTGAAGGATGGCATTCTCCTTTTAAAAATCTCTTGGCTTGTAGATATTCTTTCTTTCCATCAGTACGTTTTGGATAGGAGGTGCTGGGGGAGAGGACATGCCCCTGCCCTGTGAATCTTCACTCTTGAGCAGGAAGAAAAATTTTTGTTTTTGACTGATTTCTTTTTTGGACAGAAAGAGAGAAAGAGAGGAGCATCAATTTATTGTTCCACTTATTGATGCATTCACTGGTTGATTCGTGCATGTGCCCTGACCAGGGATCAAACCCATGACTTTGGGGCATCAGGACGATCCTCTAACCCACTGAGCTACCCCGCCAGGGCCCATGCTTTCATCATATCATGCTATTCCTACCCATCAAATGGGAAGGTATCAAATGGTACCTTCACCTTGGAGCATTCTCTGAGTCCTCCCCAACCTCTTCCACCCTCAGCATTTTATTCGTTAAAATCTTACACGTATAGCCTCACGGTACCTTTCTTTGTAGACTCATGTGGAAATCTCTGCTGTGTTAAGCTGACAGAGGACACATTTCCTTTTACCTTGTGTTCCCAGTAGCTAGCCAACACTATGTCCAGATGTTGTATTGTAGAATTTAGAAATAATGGCTGGTGTAGCTCAGTGGATTGAGTGCTGGCCTATGGACCAAAGGATCGCTGGTTCGATCCCTAGTCAGGGCATGTGCCTGGGTTGTAGGCCAGGTCCTCGATAGGGGGAGCTCAACAGGCGCATTGATGTTTCTTTCCCTCTCTTTCTTCCTCTCTTCTCCTCTCTAAAAATAATAAAATCTTAAAAAAAAAGAAATAACATGAAAGACATGTCATGAAAGAGGCTGTAGTGCTAACATTTTAGTCCTTTCAAGAGTCTTATAAATAAATTCATGTGCAGCCCTGGCTGGTGTGGCTCAGTGGATTGAATGCCAGCCTGCAAACCAAGATTGCCAGATTGATTCCTGGTCAGGGCACATGTCTGGATTGCGTGCCAGGTCCCTAGTTGGGGGCGTATGAAGCAACCAATTGCTGTTTCTCTCTTTCTCCGTTCCATGTCCTCTTTCTAAAAATAAGTACATAAAATCTTTTAAAAAATTAACTCACATGCACTTTATACTAAAATTGTCATCTTTCATGTTTGGGCAGGTGATACGTATTTGTCAAGTGAGATTTAAGGTGTTACTTACCTTCATAGGGTTGGTGTGTGGGTTAAAACGATTTACACATAGGCATTTGGAAAGTGTGTGGTGTGTGCCGCTGGTAGGTATGTTCTAGTAGCGTTTTCCCCCTTGGACTGTGCATCATTTGTATTTCCAGTTTCTCAATACCAGAGGACCAACTTTAGCACTCCCTCTCCACCCACTCCAGGTTGGAGAAGTGCGGCCTGACTTCCGCTTGCTGCCAGCATCTGTCCTCGGTTCTCAGAAGCAGCACAAGCCTGGTTAACCTGAACCTCTTAGGAAATGACTTGGGGACTGAGGGCGTCAACAAGCTGTGGAAGTCCTTGAAAAAATCAGCCTGCAAACTACAGAAACTCGGGTAATCGCTACTGACTCTTACGGCACCTGCTGAGAAGTGGGGATGGGTCAGCTAATAGCTAGAGCAGACAACAGTTGACCCTGACTTCAGTCTCCTAAGGCAGTGATGGCTGACAGAGTGTGGAGTAATGGTGGGAATGGTGTGTAGCCATGCCCTGGCTGGGTTGCTCAGTGGGTTGGAGCATCATGCTGTACACCAAAAGGTTGCAGGTTTGATCCCCAGTCAGGGCACGTACAGGAGGCAAACTGATCTCTCTCTCTCTCTCTGTTTCTCTCTCTGTCTTTGTCTCTCTCTGTCTCCCTTTCTTTCTCTAAAGTCAATAAACATATCCTTGGGAGAGGATGAAAAAGAAATATAGTCAATCATTTCTTCTAATTTTCTACTCGATTTTTTTGTTTTTGCTTTTGTAGGCTGGAAAAAGACTTATACCATCTAATAAAAGAGAAGCTGCAGGAATTGAAGGCGAAGGGGCGTGTTCTGAGGATCCTGTGCAAGTGGGATTGGAATGACCTTGAAGATAAGTGGTGGTGGTGACCCAAGGACGAGAAGTCACTGCCTTCTTGTGGGAGGTTCCTAGAGCACAACCTCCAGGAGCTCCCCCACGTATCACTCAGGTGTCCCTGTTTGTGGGACAGATGGGCTGCCACCTCTGTTTTTCCACAGAGTGTCATAGGCAGCATATTACAACCCAGTTGCTAAGATCCTAATCTAATGCTGTATTTGGCCCCAAGAGCTGATGTTGACTTTTAAGTATTTTTTGTGTTTCTTAGTGTAATGTTTTGTAATTCTTGGGTGTGTTACAAAGATTCAGTAAACCAAAGGATATAGACACAGTCTGAGGAAACTTGAGGCTTCATTTCTTGTGGATTGAGAAGTGGTAATAGATGCCATCAAAATTCCATAATTATCGTACTGTGATTAAATAAACCAGACAGACCTCCAGAATGATTCTTAATATGCAGACACACCCAAATGTGGCTTTTGTTTCTACCTTTGAGGCATCTGTGGCTCTGTGCCATCTAAAATATATTTTGCCTACCTGAAAATACCAAGCAGTGTGGATCCCACACAGAATGCAAGGTGAACTCTATGATGCCATGCGTGGAATTGTACATGAGGAATAGGAGTTTATTATATTGTAATTTTTATCTCCCTTACCTAAACCAAGATTCTTTCTTGTACTCTTGACTCATATGCCAAAGCTATTAAGAGTCGTCTTTGGGCACAGTTGGATATTTATACATTTTGCATTTCATAGCTTATAAAACATCCTCATGGTGTCTCCATCTTCATCAAAGCCCCCCATAGGTAGAGACATCCCTACTTTCCTGATTTAAACACACATACTGAGAGAAAATGCTTTGCAGCAGATTAGAAAGAGAGCACATCAAATAACTGGCCTTTGAACGCACGTCTTTGGTCTTAAGAGCCAACATGCCTTACAAGAGCCTGTGACATCTTCTGACACATCAGGTGCTGTCATCCTTCTGCCCACCCAAGTGCCCTCATTAATAAACATAAGCGAAAGCCATAGTTGTTGAAATGAATATTTTATTCCTTCCTTCTTCTGCACATCCGTTGTCGTTTGTAAGTGCAAGGCCGAAGAGCAAGTGGGGACAGGTATATGAGCTAATTTAGAATGAGCCTTGGCAGGTGTGTTCAGTAGTTGAGTGCTGGCCTGCAAATCAAAGAGTTGCCGGTTTGATTCCCAGTCAGGGCACATGCCTGGGTTTAGGGCCAGGTCCCCAGTAGGGGGTGCACAAGAGGCAACTTCACATTGTGTTTCTTTCCTTTTCTCCCTCCCTTCTCACTAAAAAAATCGTGTCGAAGTAGACTTTAAAAAAAATAAAAGGTTTAGATGCCTTAATTGCTATGTCACTGGTCGAGCTCACTTTAGGTTACTAGTTATTAAAATAGGATTGGTAAACCCTGCTTTTGTGAACCCCAAATCCAAGACTGTCCCCAAATGTCTTCATTTCTTTTAAAAAAATAACAGATGTATTTCCCTTTAAAAAATTTACTGAATTTATTGGGGGTGATGCTAATTTTATCTAATAAAATAAGTTTCAAGTGTACAATACTATATTACATCATCTGTACATTGTATTGTGTGTTCACCTGCTGATTCACAAATTCTCGATTGCTATTTTCCTTTGGTTCGCAGGCTGGCACTCAATCCACTGACCCACACCAGCCAGAGCCACCTGATTTTACTGCCAGTTATGAGAACAGCATAGGGAAGTGTCAATAATATTGTATTAACTCAGTAGGGTGTCAGGTGGGCACTAGACCTTATGGGGGAATCCTTCCACAAATTATAGAAATGTCTCACCACTGTGCTGTATACCTAAACTAATTATATGTCAACGGTCATTGAAAAAATAAAAAATTACTTGACAAAATAAAACTGTCATGAGGCAAAGAGCCGGTGCTGACCCACTGGTAAAATGCACAGAAAAAACAGCAATCAGGACAGGCCTGCATTTCCAAAGCTCTGAGCCATTGGGGAGAAGGGACCTCCGCTCCTGAATCCACAGGTGTGCTCTGGGCATCCACCAGTAACAAGTCCTGCTTCAAGATTTTACAACATGTTTTAAGATACAAAACTTTATTGAGGGTTTAAAGTGTCCTTGGGAGACAAGAGGGGACATTTATCTGGAAGGTCTCTCTGGCTTGCCCAAACCCACCAGCTAATAAAAACCACATAAATGCACCATCAATAAAACATGTCTAAATGGGGTGCTAAAAAAGGCAGGGTCAGTAATGCATCGTTCCTGGGCACAGAGTAGGTACGAGTTGGGGCTCCAACACATATCCCTCAAAGCTGCTCTTGCGTCGGAAAGTCCAGCTTGCTTGCAAGCCGATTTCCGTCCGTGTGTCCGGTCCTGGGTCTGTCTTGTCACTCATCTATGATTTCCAAGGAGAAATTTCTCTGTTCCTCCTCTATCAGAAGTTTCTGAGTTTCCTCATCAAATTCAGCTTTCCTCAGCCTGGAAAATATAAAAGGGGCTGGATTTAATTCATACCTCTTTTTTCCTTTCTCTTCTCTGTACTGCATCTTTCTTCCTCCTTTCTTCCCTGGGCATGCTCAGGAGGACCCAGTGTGGCCTCCAAGACAGAAGACATGTCGGTGTGTGGATGAACGTGGGACCCTTGGAGAGATCTCTCTCTCTGTCACACACACACACACACACACACGCATGCACACACACGCTTCTGGTTGATAGTGTCATGCGTCTCTGCGGTATAAATGCTCCAACCAGGGTCAACATCCAGCTGCCAACTGGTGTCACCAAACATTGGGAGAAGCTATTCACCCTGGGTCCTTCTGACTGGGAGGGGATGTCTTAAATGTGTTTCAGGACTGAACCAATGTCCTGTGTGATGGGAAGTCCCTTCTCCACCTCAACATGAGGTTTCAGACAGGAGGTCAGGGGAAGCTCAGGAGCAAGACTGAACTATTTATTTTTAGAAACATAAAATGGTAATTCTATTTAAAAATATTTTTTAGAGGAAGGAGGAGGGAGAGAGGGAGAGAGGGAGGGAGGGAGGGAGGGGGAGAGAGAGAGAGAGAGAGAGAGAGAGAGAGAGAGAGAGAGAGAGAGGTATTAATCAGTTGCCTTCCTTAGCTGCCCTGACTGGTAATTGAACCTGAAACCTAGGTATGTGCCCTGACCAGGGATCACACCTGCAACCTTCTCATGTACCAGATGATGCTCCAACCAACTGAGCCACCAAAGCAGGGCTACTAATAATTCTATTTTTAGAAAGATAAAATAGTTTCTAGTCTCTGAATGCCTGGTCCTGGCCCTCTGCTGAGGGTTTGGCAGCCATATCTCATGAAAATCTCCCATCAGCTTTATGAGCTGCTGTTTTGACTGGATTTGTGATGAAGACACAGAGGTCACTCAAGCCACTAGAATTTTGTGCTGTAGAGGCTGCCTCATGAACAGCGTTCTATCATTGCTTTGAACTGCGCAGGAGGGCTTAGGATTGTTGTGTTCTGGCTGTTCTGTGGGTACCAGTGTCTCTTTTCTCTGTTTACTTGCCACGATCCCCAAGCACGTTCATCTTACTGTTAAAGTGAAGCACCTGCCTTCATTCTGTGGTTCTCGTTAACATAGCTGGTGAGACGGTCCACAGTGTGGGAGGGCACAGAGGTGAAGCGAGCTCACTGATTGGTGTCGTCATTTTATCGTATTGACTAACTTATATTTTCATCATGACCATGTCAAATAACTCTCCCTACTGTGCAGGAAGGAGACAGGTCATCAGACAGGACAGATGCCCTGCCCGAGGCCCCAGGACGAAACACATGAGAGGTGTTGTTCCTACTCTGACCTCCAGGGTGCAGAAACTAAACAGACCCCTCACCCCCGCCCCACACCTTCCCATAACCTCCTGCGTCGGCTGCATGGGCCCTGACGCTCTGTGTTCTGAAGCTTGGGGTGAGATCGTGCCAGGCAGCTGAGCTTTCTAGACGTTGATTTACAAGGGTGGACTGTAAAGAAATGGACCCATGTCTTCACAAGACGGACAAGAATGGAACTGTTCTTCTCAGTGCTGGAGCTGCACCAGTTTTAGCCCAGTGTCTTGCAGCTCCCTTTTCCTGAAAGGAGTGATCTGTTTAACTACCTGTGACTCCACTAATTTCATTCAAGTTTTAGAAATGTAGGAGAAAATGAGCCCTGGCTGGTGTGGCTCAGTGGACTGAGCGCCCGCCTGCAGATCAAGGGGTTGTTGGTTCAGTTCCCAGTCAGGGCAACATACCTGGGTTGTGGACCAGGTCCCCAGTAGGGGATGTGGGAGAGGAAACCACATATTAATGTTTCTCTCCTCTTTCTCCCTCCCTTTCCCTCCCTCTAAAAAGAAATAAAATCTTAAAAAAAAAAAGAAATATAAGAAAAAATGAGAAAAGTAGATGCTATGGATTCATTATATCATCATCTAGTAAAATAATACTCATTGGAGAAAATTCTAGGAATAATCTGTATTACTATTATATGTGTAATTAGAGGCTTAATTATAAAGTTATATTTACAAATATATTTGATGATATCATATGTTTATAAGTATAGGCTTAAATATATAAGTATATAATTATATACATTTTGTGTGTTATATATTACTTTTAGATAATTATTTTATTAGATTTTATTGTTTATAATTATATGTAACTATAATTATAGTTATGTAACTATAATTATAATTACATAATATAGCTACATATAATTAGAATTTGTTAAACTAAAATTTTAATATGTAATGTTTTAATATAGATAAAACATTTAATGTAATTATACTTTATGCTTAAAACCACATATTTAAATGATTATAATTTATGTATGCAAATATATATAATTATAATCGCACTATGATTATATGTCCTATCATTACTATAATTATAATTTATACTACATCATATTATAATTTGCACGATTATTGTAATTTGTATTATCACAGTACCCGTGCCAAATTATACTATAATTTGTATTATCATAGTCCCACTGCCACCATTTATTGGGTACTCCCTGGTCACCGGTCACTGTGCTCCATGAGGGGCTTAAGTCTCACTCCTGCAACACCCCTGAGACTGGGAGGAGCATCCTTCACCCCTGAAGTGCAGTGAGACCAGACTGCAGAGGCTCCTCAGTGGGCCCTCCCTCCCTCCCTCAGCCCCAGGCCCATCCCCAGCAGCAGCAGCAACACAGAGCAACGCAGGTCCCCACCCCTCGCCCCCGCCCCCCCCCCTCCGCTTACCCCAGCCACTGCAGCCCGCACCAGGGATGTCTCAGGGCCTGACACAGCACTAGCACCCCTTCGTGGCCCAAGGCATTTCCGGACAGGGTGAGTTTTCTCAGAGTGCTGCAGTTGATGAGCACAGAGGCAAGGTCCTTGCAGCAGGCGCTGGTCAGGTTGCATGTTCCCAGCCTGCAACAGAGAAACGCTGGGTGAAAACGGGCCCCTCCTCAGGGCAGGAGGAGGCCTGTAGGGGGCGCTCGACCCAGGGCCACCCCCTCACCTCAGCGTACAGCCTCTGACAGCCCAGGGCTGGTGACATCGGCTTACTGCTCTGGGGCCTATGGTACAAGTTGCCACCCTCTTCCTTTCCTCTCTGAACCCAGGCCCATGGCAATGGGACTCTGCAGCTGGCCCCACTTGGGGCGGAGGTCTGCTCGCTGCCCCTGTGTCTGGGCTGGCCTCAGCCTTGTTTTGGTCAATACAACTCAGTGGAGGCAAGGTGATGTGAGTCAGTGGAGGCAAGGAGCTGATACCTTGCATATTTCTTACTCTTTTGAATCTGAGACATTGCGTGCTTGTAAAATGTCACAGGTTGAAGCCCTAGACCCCAGCTCCTCAAAACATGGCTGCATTTGCAGGTAGGGTCTCCGCAGAGGGAATTAAGTTAAAAGGAGGTCATTAGGGCTGGTGCTAGTCCAGCAGGACTGGTGTCCTTGTGAGAACAGGGAATGAGGACACAGGCACCCACAGAGGATGACCATGTGAGGACACAGGGGGGCGGGGGGAGACGGCCATCTACATACCACAGAGAGAGGCCTCAGGAGGAACCAGCCTCCAGAACCATGAGAGGATACATTTCTATAAATTAAGTTACCCAGATTGTGCTACTTTGCCATGGCAGCTGGAGCACACTCATCTGAATGGCATGTCTGTCAATAGGGCCAGTCTCACGAGGCCCACAGGAGACACGTGGGTCAGTCCTTCCTTCTGTTCTCAATTCACAGCCAACCAACCTCCAGACCTGACAGTGAGGCCCACCTTGGTCAACCGACCAGTCACCAGGGCCACTCCCGATTCCTGATCGTGCCAGTTCAAGGGCAGCTATGCCTGCCCCAGACAGCGAGCAGAGCCAGCCAGCCATCCTTGGAGCTCATGAACAGCAGCCTATGTTTTAGAGTAATTACTCCACGATGGCTAACTGCTGTGTTCCCCGATGGGGTTTCCATTTTTCTTTCTCTTACTGCCCATCAATTCCCCATCTTTGGTCTCCCACAAAGATATAGCCATGACGTTGAAGAGGTACCCACCCAAGCATCTGTAAGTGACAGGTGGAATGAACCAGACCTTTGGACAGCAGCCTTACACCATCGTCTCCTATATCGTTGTGACTGATTTGCAGGTTTCTCAGGTTTGGGTTTCTGACGAGGACGAAAGCAAGGTCCCGACAGCCCTCGGGGGTTATGAAACAGTTTACCAAACTGCAAGAGAACAATAGCGATGACACTTGATAGGGTTACTATGGGTTTTTGTTGTTGTTGTTTTGTTTTGTTTTAGAGAGAGAGAGGAAGGGAGAGAGAAACATCGATCAGTTGTCTCCCATGTGCGCCTGGCTGGGGACTGAACCTGTAATCTAGGCGTGCACCCTGACCAGGATTTGAACCTGCAATCCTTTTGGTGTACAGATGACGTTCCAACCAACAGAGCTGCCTGGCCAGGGCTTTTCTTTTCTTTTGAGTAGATATTTTATCATTCTTTCGTCTCTCCTCTGATGATTGAGAGTTAGCAACAATTTGGTTTTTTTTTCCTAAATTTCATAATAGAAGTATTTATAGCTGTACTTAATCTCCCAACATCTCAAATTAATCAACCCTTTTACCTTCTTTCTGGATTTTATGACATTAGTGTACATTTATATTACTGCTGCTGTGCTCTAAAATTTTTTTTTTCCTTTAAGTCCCAAAAACATTATCCCAGGGTGGGGGGGGAGTAGGTTTACAGCTGTTCATATGCAAAGTAATACAATAATTAAAAGTAATGACACAGAATAAACTGTGTTTCAGGTACTCACAACTGTAAACCTCCTTTTGCCCCGCCCTGTGTTTTTGTAAGTAGCCCCTATTTGTTTAGATTTTTTTCTACAGGTTTCCCACTTTCTTTGCTCTAGAATCCTCTCCATCTGGAATCACTTAACTTCTGTCTGAGGGAAGCTTAGTTATTTTTTAAAATTGTTTTGTCCTCATGTGTGATTCTCTCTGTGGGTTGTAAGATTCCAGGTTGACCACGTCTTCCCAGCATGTTGATGTTCTCATTGCACTGCCTTTTTTCATCGGCATTGACAGCTGATCTCCTTCTGTCCCTCATCCACACGTTCTGGCTGCTCTCAGCCCTCACCCCATCACAGATGGAAAATCATTATCTTTATGTTTGGTGTTCTCCATGACTTATCCTACCAGGGGCAATAAGGAAGCTTGAACCTGGAGACTGGAGTCTTTCATCAGTTATACTAAACTTCTAGCCATTACTTCTTCAGATATTTTTTCTTCCTAGGATTCCCATTAAGTGTGCCAGAACTTCTCTATGTACATCTTTTTTTCCCCTCTTCATGCTGCATCTGCATAATTGTGATCTATCTTCTATTTTACTAATTTTCCCTCTAATTATGTCTAGTCTATTATTCAACCCATTTTACTAATTTTCCCTTTAATTGCATCAAGTCTACTGTTCAAACCATCTATTAGGGTTTTGATATTAGTTCTATTGATAATTTCTAGGTGTTCCACTGTATTTGTTTTCTCAATTTGCCGGTTTTATTTCATTTTATGACTTCCTTTTCCCTAAGGTGTTTAAACTTATTCTTTTCTTTTAAATAAAGGAAGTATAATGGTTTTATAGCTAATAAGCCTAGTTACTACTGTTTCTGAAGTTTGGTAGGTGTATCTGTTTCGTTCTTGCTCATAGTGTCATTTTTCCTTGTGTTTTAGGTTATTTTTAAGTATGTGTGGTATGTGACTATGAATGATTGTTTTAGGAATCAGTTGATAGCAAAGATTATGCTATTCTATTATCTACCTCCAAGGGAAATGTGTACTTGTTTTTTTCCCGGTTGTCTAGTTTAATATTTTTAAATATAAATGTATTTTTATATTGCCCTGGCTGGTGTGGCTCAGTGGATTGAGCACAGGCCTGTGAACAAAAGGGTTCCTGGTTTGATTCCCATTCAGGGCACATGCCTGGGTTGTGGGCTAAGTCCCCAGTGGGGGTGCATGAGAGACAACCACATATTGATGTTTTTCTCCCTCTCTTTCTCCCACCCTTCCCCTTTGTCTAAAAATAAAGAATTAAAATCTTTAAAAATATATTTTAATATATAAATTATATGTTACAAAATATATATAAACATACTTTAAATAAACATACAACTCTAGGATTTAGGGACAACCTCAAGTAGTCTGCATTTAGTCTACACAGACTAGTTCTGCATCAGCTTCTGGATATTTCTAATGTTTAAAAAATATTATCAGATATTTTTAGTATCTTGCAGTTCAAGGATTGAGCCAGATAGCCCTAACCCACCATTATGAAATCAAGAATGAATCTGACTCTTTTCTCACCTTATTTAGCTCACTCTCCAAGCAAGGGATACAACATTCTAAACTCTCAGATTTCTTGAGAGGTTCAGAAAAACAATTCTGCCTACTCCCACAAGTCTGTTGATTTCTCAGGGAGGGGCATTTGAGGATGAAATGCTATGCCAATGGGTCACTCCAGAACACCAACACCCACCACAGCTTACCCAAATATTTCTCAATTTTATAACACGAAATGAAGTCTTTTCATTCCCTGCTTTCCCATTTCCCTCTTAACTGCCCTTACTACTTCCTCAAGTATTCCTGTTTTTATCCATGTTCATTCTCACATATATTATTAGGTTTCCCATCCCCATGTTTAACCTTTCTACCTGAAATTTCAGCTTTTTCCCTTGATGAAACTTATACATATTATAGAATACATGGCAAATATCTAATCATAAAACTGTCCCTTTGCCCCGGCCAGGTGGCTAAGTTGGTTGAAGCATCATCCCATGCACCAAAAGGTTGAGGGTTCAATCCTGATGTTTCTGTTTCACCTCTCCCTTTCTCTCTCACTCATATCAATGGACATATGCTTGGGTAAGGATTAAAAAAAAAAAGCCCCTCAGCCCCAGTTGCAATTTCGCTCCCTCTTTTAGCTTTTATGTAGAGCCCAATAAAGGACCCCTTACCACACATTAAATCTGTGACTGGAGTCAAGAGACAGGTATGTTCACCTGAACATCTCCAGAATCTGAATGAAGTCGTTTTTAACTACCACCTTCTTGGTCATCGATACTATGGCCTTCCTCGATTCCAGGTGCCCTCCTCAGGAACCCCAGCCCCAGAGAAGGCGGCTTGGTCTTCCAAGTAAACCTCCAAGACACTTACCATAGTGACTTCAGGGAGCAGCCAGGATCTGTCAAGGCCTCACACAAGAGGTTCAAATTTTCGTATGTCAGGATGTTTGTGCTGATATCTAGATGGAGCAGGGTCTTGTTAAGCAGAAGAACCTCAGGCAGGCACCCCCAGCAATGTTCATTGATGTAGCAGCAAGTTAACCTGTGGGGACAAGCATTCGTGAGAAAAGGAGGAGAATGCCATGTCAGGGGGCGTGGTTTCACTCCATATTATGGAGACTATTCCTATAATCTTTTTTTTATCCTCACCCGAGGACATGTTAGAGATAGGGTAAGGGAGGGTGAGAAACATTGATGTGTGAGAGAAACAGCAATCTGCCTCTTGTACACAGCCTGACCTGAGATCAAACCCACCACCCAGGCACATACCCTGACTGCGAACTGAACCTGTGGATCTCGGTTGACAGGACAATGCTCCAACCAACTGAGTCACACCAGTGAGGGCTTCCTATAATCTTATACACATGAAATCCTCAAGGGAGGCCATGAATTTCTGCCATATCTGAAAATACCTCCCCTTTTTTCCTTCTTACGTATATGATAGAGAGATTAAAACAGAGAGCTGACCAAGTAATGGAGAAGGAAGAACAGAGCACAACTAATTCACAAGGAGAAGTTGGAAAGTGTTGGTTCTAATTTTACATCTGAGTCTGTCCTGGGCCAAAACCACTGCTTTGCCATGAACGAGTTGCGTGCATTGAATTACCTTACATGTAAAATCCATAACTTTTTCAGTTCTGTTCTTCTGTAATTTCTTTTTTTATTTTTCTATTACAGTTGACATGCAATATTATATTAGGATCAGATATATAACACAAGGATTAGACATTTATATAACTTAGGGAGAGATGCCCCCATGAATCTAGTACCCACCTGATGCCATGTATAGTTATTACAATATTATTGACTACATTCCCTATGCTGGACTTTATATCTGTTTTGTAACTACCAATTTGTATTTATTTATTTTTTTAAATTGCCACCTGAGGATATATTTATGGAGTTTAGAGAGAGAAGGGAAGTGGGTGGAGGGGAGAGAAAGAAAGAGACCTGTGCCCTGACCAGGAATCAAACCCACAATCTTTTGGTGCATGGGACGGCACTCGAATCAACTGAGTCACCCGGCCAGGGCAACTTGTATTTCTTAATCCCTTCATCTTTTCGCCCAGCCTGCCAAACGCCTCTCCCATCTGGTAACCATCTGTTTGTTCTGTGTCTATGAGTCTGTTTCTGTTCTGCTTGTTTGTTTACCTTGTTCTTTAGATTCCACATATCAGTGAAATCACTTGGCATTTGTCTTTCTCCATTTGACTCATTTCACTTAGCACAATATTATACCAGTTTGTGGCTTTCAAAAGGGTGCATGTTTACTTTGGGAAAATTGTCAGGTCTAGCTAAGTATAGAGCCGAGGTTGCAAGCTAGTGAGGTCGTCATCAATGGACAGATTTTGGTCAATGGGTTTGAGTTCAAACTCGAGGCCTCCACGGCTCTCCACAGTGGACCTTCCCAATGGTCACTTACACCAAGGCATAAAGGTAACAGGTCGGGTGGCGCAGGGCTTCACACAACAGGGACATCCCTGTGTCCAGGTAGTTGCAGGATAGGTTAAGGACCTTCAGCTTCGTGTTCTCCTGCAGGACGTCTCTGAAACCTTCACAGTCATCAGGTAAGAGGCCACAGTTGGTCAGCCTGTGGGAAAGAGAAAACATCCCCTTCATCAGATTCTATGTCCCTGATTAATGCCTCTTGCTAATCCTGTAAGAGTCAGGAAACCCACGTTTGCATTGCTCGAGACCCTCCCTGAGCCCCATCCATCCTTCTCTAGACTTCAGGCATGTATGCTCTAAGTCATTGTCTGTACACGGCTTCAACTTCCCCAGTGGAAAGCCCGAGGGGCACCATGTGATCCACAAGGCTCCTGCCTCTTCCTAAACCCATGTGTGCTGGTGACACTCACTGTGGTGATTTGCTTGACCTGTATCAGGTGTGATTCTTCAAGGTGTTCACTCATGTTTGCTGTTCCCCACACTCCCCCCCAGCTTGGGGTGTTTGTACTTGTTCACCCTGAATGGCCATGAAATGGACACACCTGTGTTACCAGGACTCAGGTCCAAGAATAGATCCTGTCCGTCACCTCCCCTCATGATCCTCACCTCTAACATCATAGACCTGCCTGACTTTGAACTTCATGTAAATGAAATCCTGTGATATATTTACTCTTAAGTTTGGCTCATTTCCACCACTGGGGGTCTGAGATTCATTCAAATTGTGGCTAGATGTGGATGGACCTGAAGAGCTTTATGCTCAGTGAAATAAGCTCATCAGAGAAAGACAAGTACCATATGATCTCACTTACATGTGGAATTTAATGAGCAAAATGAATTAACAAGCAAAATAGACATAGACTTATAGAGAGCAGGCTGACAGCTGTAGAGAGTGGAGCTGATGAGAGGATGGAGGAAAGGAGCAAAAAACAAAGAAAAAAGAAAAAACTCACAGACATGGACAATAGTGCGGTGACTGCAGTGGGGAGGGGAGTGAGGGTAGATGGAGGAGGGCACAGTGGGGATAAATGGTGATGAACAGCAACTTGACTTGGGGTGGTGAACACAAAATACAGTGTAGAGATGATGTGTTGTAGAATCATGCACCAGAAACCTGTATGATTTTGTTAACCAGTGTCAGCCCAATACATTCAATTAAAAGAGAAAAAAACAAACTGTTGTGCCCTGGCTGGTGTAGCTCAGTGGACTGAGTGCCGGCTTGAGAACCAAAGCGTTGCTGGTTCAATCCCAGTCAGGACATGTGCCTGGGTTGCGGGACAGGTCCCCAGTAGGGGGTGTGCGAGAGGGAACCACACACTGATGTTTCTCTCCCTCTCTTTCTCCTTCCCTTCCCCTCTCTCTAAAAATAAATAAAATCTTAACACACCCCTCCCCCAAATTGTTGCTATAATTGCAGATCATTCGTTCTTAGGAAGAGAGTCTATAACCACGGGTCTTTGCTCTAACTTACTGCTAGTAGGTATTTCCATCTTTCAGGTAATATGACTACTCATCATGAATGTTTTAGGACTTGTCCTTCAGTAAAGTTATTCACGCAGCTCTGTTGGGTGTATACCCCAAATGGCATTTTGAGGTTATAGGGAATGCCAGAACCCACGAAAGCTGGATAGAGGCAAATCGTTTTCCAAAAGGGTTGTATTGATTTAGAAATGTTAATTCCTGTCTTCGACTCTCAGGTTCACAAGAGGTTGAGGTTGCATGTGAAGCATAGAAAAGAGGATGAAAGTAGACAGATTAAAAAAAAATGCACGGTCCCTTCTGAAATCAAATGAGTGAGGCAGAGAGCTGGGAAACTTACAGTAAATCCTCTAGGTTGCACGCTGGGTTGTTCAAAGCTTGACAGAGCAGCATCACGTCATCACGGGAGAGACTTGTGCCACTGAGGTTCAGGTATTTTAAATCTGGGCTGTGAGTGAGCACCTCGAAGAAAAGCCAGCCGTCACCAGGGAAGGAAACACCATTTATCCTGCAAAAATGAAGAAAATTTTGGGTAGGTTTCATTCAACAAAACCTGAGTAGATGCATCTGTGTCTTTGATTTCCACCCTGTGACCTGTAATACTCTCCAGGGTGACAAACTCCCAAGTTTAAGTGAATTAACACAAAGTTTATTTTTCTCATATAATGGTTCAAATAAAGGTGCTACTGACTTTTTTGGGTGGGAGGGGAAATGTTCCTTTAAATCATAGTTCTCTACCTTGACTAACATTGAGATCGAGTGGGGATATTTTGATAAATTGATTTAGGGGCCTGACCTAGGCATGAAGATTTTTTTTTTTTTAGAGAGAGAAAGGAAGGGAGGGAGAAAGAGAGGGAGAGAAACATCGATATGTGGGAGTGAAATGCCAATCGGTTGCACATACCTCTAACTGGGGACGCAGCCTTAACCCCAGGCATGTGCCCTAACAGAACCAAACCAGTGACCTTTTGGCTCACAGTCTGGCCACACCAGCCAGACTTTTTAAATAGGTCTTTGTGGTCCTCAGTTGGTTCATCCCAATAGGCCAAGGGTGCAGGTTCAATCCCTGGTCAGGGCACATACAAGAATCAACCAATGAATGCATCAATAAGTGGAACAACAAATCACTGTTTCTCTCACTCTCTCTCTTTCTCTCTCTCTCTAAAAAAAAAATCAACAAATAAAAAATTTTAAAAATAAAATAAGTAAAAAGTACTTGCATGATTTTAACATGCAGTCAATATCAAGAAGTCCTGCCCTGGCTGGGTGGCTCAGTTGGGTGGAGTACCATCCCATGCACCAAAAGGTTGTGGGTTCAATTCCTAGTCAGGGCATGTACCTAGGTTGTAGGTTCGATTCCCGGTCAGGCCACATGTGGGAGGCAACCAACTGATGTTTCTCTCTCACATTAATGTCTCTCTCTCTCTCTCCCCCCCCCCAACCCTCTAAAAATCAATAAAAATCATAATCTTGGGTGAGAATTAAAAAAAAACAAACTATCCAAGGTCAGGACCATAACTCGAAGCCCCATTTATTTCTTGGGATTTGGTACAAAGCCAGACAACCAACTGGTCCTCGTATATTGGTTGATGTGATGTCCCTGAAGCATTTTAGGAAGCAGCAGGTACAGTGGCCACCAGCAGAAGCTCTGTGATTGATCAGCTCTGAGTCCAGAGCACAGCTTTGCCTTCTGTGAGCTTTGTGGCCTTGAGAATCTCACTGTATCCTGGTGAGTACGGAAAAGGTAGGTTGGATTCTCTCCATTTGCTCCTTTGTCCCCACCACCAGCTTGGGTCCAGCAGGACCTCCAACTCACGAAAGTTTTTGAAGGTGACACCAGGGATGCCTCAGCTGACTGCTCAGAGTTATAAAGGTTGACTCCTGGAAGTTACTGTGAATTACTTGAAGCTCCCTGAGGTTCTCGTTTGTAGTGAGCACGGAGCAGATGTGAGACCAAGAGGTTAAGTGGTTAGTTGACCTGCAAGGAAGGAAAATGTGAATGTTTGCCATGGATGAACAGTCAACCAAGTCATTCCTAACCTATAAGCATCAAATGTTGTCTTCCTGAACACAGGACATTTGACTGTGTTCAGATCAGACCCACCCCCGGTCATCTTGTATTCATGATTCTCAACCAGAGGCAACATTGTCCCTTCACCCAGGGGACACTGGGCAATGTCTGGGGACACTTTTGGTTGCTACCACTTGGGGAGAGGTACTCCTGGCATGTAGTGGGTAGAAACCAGGGATGCTTCTAAACATACTAGAATGCACAGAAAGCCACCCCCCCCATCTTGCCAACAATTATCCACCCCAAGTGTCAAAAATAAGTGCCAGGTCAGGAGCTTTGCCTTCTCTTTGGGCAGTTTTATAGAGAAAGCTTAGGCATCTCTCGAGCAGAACACATATGCCCAAACTGAACCTCCATCGCTTCCTCACTTGGGCAGCTTCCAAGACCTCTGCCTCAGTGTCCTCACCCGTAACATAATAGAGTAAGAGAATCTCTTTCATATGATATTTGTGAATATTAAAGTGAATTAAAATGCATTAGATTTTTCAGAATGCATACGAAAACCTAGCTTTTGGCTGGGAGGTCAAGAAAGTTGGAGTGTGGTCCTAGGGAAATGATACAGATATCAATTTAAGTACCTGTCAGCAAATATTAGAGCATAGGAAGCACACTGCCTACGGATCCTCATATTCATCTTCACAGTGCCTCACAAGGTGGTAGTTTGCATTGTTGCAATGAGGCAAGTTCAACGAAGAAAGAAGACCTCCCAAACAAGATCACATATTCCACAAGGAGTCCAACCAGGGTAGGAGCTGAGGTCCCAACCCAGGTCCCTCTATTGAAAAACTTGACTAGTGAAACCCACCCGGGAATAGGGACAGATGTGGAAAAGGCAATAGAAAGGAAATCATTGAAGGGACTCACATGGAAGGGTCTGCGCCCTCTTGTACCAAGACATTTTGGGTGGAAACACTAAGTTTCTTCAAGGCAGAACAGTGTTTTAAGCAGTAGGCAACAGGCGCCAAGTCCAACTTGTCATGAATACAAAGATGCATGTTTTGGGAGAGGTTCACTGCCCACCCTGCAAACGTTTCATTCTCCATCTCATACAGGCAGTAACAGAACGCCACGAAATCTACCTGTCTCCGGAGGTGTTCACTCTCACTTATGCTCTGTAAGTGCTGCAGAAGCGTCTGCTGGACCTCCTGCCGGCGCAGGTGGGAGCCGAAAAATGCCTCCAGCTTCTGTTGTTCTTTTTCACTTAAAAGGCCAAACAAGAAACACCCCAGAAAAACCCAATGGATCTTGGTTTTACTTAAAAAGGTAGATACCAGTGTCTCCATACTTTCCACAGCTGGGTTTGGATGGTCGGTGTGACTCTTCACGAAGTAGAACAGGGCGGCACAGAACTCCTGGATGCACAGATGGATGAAAGAGTATGAGTCCTCAGTGTCCCAGTGCCTGTGAAGAGCCTTGGCGTCCAGCAGTGCAGGGATGTCAGAATCAATTAGCCCATTTCTCCTGAGATCCTCTCTGCTGAATACAAACGTGTCGGTCCACATGCCCTCGGCAGCCAGGGAGCATAAGCCCATCAGGCGGCCTTGGCTTTGCCTGTCTAGACGACTAGCCCCCTTGGGTGTGAACAGGTTTAAGACAAAAGAAGAATAAAGGGAGGTGGTCCGTCGGAACGCCACAGCCAAATCTTGCCCTTTTTCCATCTCCCGCTTCATACAAGTGCCCACGGCCCAGCAAAGAGTGGGGATTTCACACATGGAAAAGAGGTGTTCGTTCTCTCTTAAGAGGCTGAAGGCTTTGATGCCTCTAGTCCTGTCTTGGAATAAGCAACAGAAATACAGCCTTTTCTCCGTCTCACCTAACCCCGTGAATATTTTGATCTCAGGGCACTCCAACCTGTCCTCAATGCTCTGTGGGTACTTGGGTACAGCAGCAATGAGCAGTGAGGACTCGGGGAGCATTTTCTTTCTCAGCAAGCTGCTCAGGACCACGCGGATGGGCCGCTGCTCCATACAGTCGCTGCACAGATCTGTGTCGGGTTCGTTCAGGTCGTATCTCAGTTCTTCGAAGCCATCGATGATGAACAAGAGTCTCTCTGGGTCAGACGTGATCTCTGCTACTGGGGAGAGGGAGTTGGACCAGTCTCTACAAATCAGTGCAGCCAAGCTGGTCTCCGTCATCTGCTTCACTTCCCGACAGCTGAAGTAGAAGATGTAGGAGAACTTCTGGTAGACAGTGCCCTCTGCCCAGGACAACATCAGCTTCGTCAGGACCGTTGTCTTCCCGACCCCCTGGAGTCCTCTAAGGACCACCGTCCGTCTCCCAGTTTCCTTGGGGGCAAAAAGACGCTCCATATATTCGTATTCTTTTAGGGTGAGTTTCTTGTCAAAGTGATCATAAATCCTGGTGACAGAGTCTCTGAACCACATTTTGGTGAATTTCTCCTTGATGTGAGCGCGATATATCTTTGTGTATCCTGAGTCGGTAAGCCCAAGAAAACAAAACACAACACAACACGTTTGAGTTAAAATACTCATGCAAACAATGGCTTTGTCCCTGCCCCTTCTCAACGTGTTTGCTTGGGGACCTGCCAACTGTGGCCCACAGGCCAAAGCTGGTTAACAGTCTGTTTTGTAAATAAAATTTCATTGGGACCCAGTGATACTCTTTGCTTACACATTGTCTACAGCTGCTTTGCCCCTACAATGGCAAAGATGAGCAGCTATGATGGAGATATGGCTCATGATGTCTAAGCTATGAACTCCATGGCTCCCTACATCCGACAAACCCTGCTCTAGACACACACACACACACACACACGTGCGCGAGGCTGTTCCTTGTTGCTACTATACAACAAACACTAGAGAATCACTTCTAACCATGGACAGAAGACTAGCTCAATTATTTATGGAATATGACATAGGTAGTAAAAGTATGTAATGATTTCTGTATTAAAAAAAAAAAGCCCTAGCTGGTGTGGCTCAGTGGATTGAGTGCCAGCCTGCAAATCAAAGGGTCGCTGGTTCGATTCCCAATCAGGGCACATGGCTGGGTTGCAGGCTAGGTTCCCAGTAGGGGGTGCACTAGAGGCAACCACACATTGACGTTTCTCTTCCTCTCTTTCTCCCTCACTTCTCCTTTGTCCAAAATAAATAGAGTATAAAAAAAAACAACCAACAACAACAGGAAAAAAACCCAAGACAGTTTCTCTACTGTGCACCCATTTATGTCTGCAGGAATTTAGACAGAGATAGCGGTTTTCTGGGTATGGAATTTATCTGAAGGACACGACACAGGGAAATTAGGTGTCATAGATATGATAGAAGGCCCCTTAATTGACAATTGGCTAAAAAATGTGGCACCTATATACAATGGAATACTACTCAGCCATAAAAAAAGAATGAAATCTTACCATTTGTGGTAACATGGATGGACATAGGGTGCTATGCTCCATGAAATAAGTCAGAAAAAGACAAATACCCTATAGCTTCATTTATATGTGGACTCCCCCTCCAAAAAAGCCCACAAATGAACAAACAAATCAAAAACCGACTCATAGAAACAAAGAACAGATAGATGGTTCCAGACGAGTGGGGGTAGGAAGGAAGAGTAAAAAAGCTGAAGCAGAATCTAGTCAATAATAGTGTGATAACTTGACATGGTAGAAGAAAAGTTCCGGTGAGGTATATAAATGTTGAGTCACTGTATTGTACACCTGAAACAACTGTCATATTGCATGCGACTATACTTGACTTAAAAAGTCAACATAAGGTCCTAACTGTCATAGTAAAATGGTATATATTCCAATATTTTAATGCTCCTCTGGGGCTACTGTGAGAATATAATGAAGCAGCTGAGAACCTGCATTATTTGTGAATATAGTATCTGCAAATGCAGATGGTTGTCACGGCGACTCAGAGATGGTGACAACTGTTGCTACTGGGTCTTCTATGTTGTAAGATGGCCAACAACCCTTGGTAAAGTTTTGAACAAGAGACAATCTTCCCTCAAAAAAATTGGCCCTTAAGACTGTATTGCTGTAGGTCATTGCTTCTCTGACATGATGTTTGCTTGTTAAATATTAAATATTAAAATATATACATATATGACAATTATTTAGAAATCTTACTAAATAAACACTGGCACTCTGTGACCTCTGAATACATACAGTTAACACCAGTTAATCTCAGTTCAAGGAGCCATCTACAAAAGATGTCAATTGTTATCTTTGCTGAACCACCAAGTCCATTGTTCCTGTGATACAACTTCACCTTAGAGCCTTGGCCAGGTGGCTCAGATGGTTGGAGCATTGTCCTGTGCACCGAAAAGTTGTGGGTTTGATCCCTGGTTGGGGCATGTATGAGAGTCAACCAAATTGATCTTTTCTTCCCTCCCTCCCTCCCTCCCTCCCTCTTTCTTTCTTTCTCTCTCTCTTTCTCTCTTTCTTTCTCTCTCTCTCCCTCTTTCACTTCCTCCCTCTCTCTCTAAAATCAATAAAAACATATCCTCAGGCAAGGATTAAAGTAGTAATAGTAATAATAATAATTAAAACTTCACTTTAGCGTTTCTGACTTGGATGCAAGGACAAATGATTGGCAGCCTAGACATGCAATCCAGACTAAGACATGGTCTCCACCCACATTCACCACATGGAACCACTGCCTTCTATCTACAGGGATAACCCTGTCCCACAGTGCACTCTCACCCTGCTGTGAAGATGGAGAAGATAGATGGAGACCATTTATCAAACTTGAGACATAATCCTAAGGATAAGAAGCCCTGTCCCCACCCGCTGATCCCAGATCCCCCCTCACCAGTAATCTCCTTCTTGGCCTTTTGGCAGAGATCCATTCTATTGATCTTCTGAAAGATGAAGAAGGTCACGTCCCAGGCTTGTTCTTCCCCATAATGTTTGGCCAGTAGGTTTGCCAGGTCTTCTCGAGTCCCTTTCTTCACGTCGGCCCAGGGCATTTGCTGGAGTCCAAGTTGCAAGGGCGTTTCCTTGAGGAGCTCCTTAAATTTCCTGAACTCGTCCTTTCTGAGCTCCCCCAGGTACCACATGAGGCCAAACTCAGAAAAGAATGATGAGGCCATCGTGACCAGGTCAGAGATGATGGTCTCCACAGAGAGAATGGCCAGGAACAAAGAATAAATGAAACCTGGGTAAAATTCAGAGAAGAACCACATTATGTGAAAATCCATTGATTGAGGTAACTCAATACCTTGTTAGTTTTGAGGGGGTGGTGACAAGGGCAGGAAGTTTTTTAGACCAGACTCATCTGTTCTCACCTTCTCATTGAACAAGGATACCTGAAATAAAGTTCCAGATGAATGAAAAATAATCCCCCTCAAAATTCCTGCTAACCCCAGTTCTGCTGATGGCTGGTGGAGCCATACAATGAAAGTATCTGAGTGGATATAGTATAGAATTGTATGCCTGAAACCTATATAATTTTATTAACCAATATCACCCTAATAAATTCAATAAAAAATAAACAAACTTTTAGCCCTGGCTGGTGTGGCTCAGTGGATTGAACACCAGACTGCGAAGCAAAGGCTCACTGTTTTGATTCCTAGTCAGGGCCCATGCCTGGGTTGCAGGCCAGGTCTGCTCTGGTTGGGAGGCACATGAGAGGCAACCACACATTACTGTTTCTCTCCCTCTTTCTCTCTCCCTTCCCCTCTCTCTAGAAATAAATAAAATTAAACAAATAAATTAAAAAAATAAATTTTTAAATGGGGGGTGACTAGTCTAGTAGTTTCTTTAGGCTGTATCAAAACCAAGTGGCTTAAAACAACAGAAATGTAATGTTTTGTGGTACTAGAGGCTTGAAGTCCACAGATGAAGGTGTCCCTGAACGCTGAGTCTTTGCCTGCTGCTTTCCAGTTTCTGGTGGTTTGCTGGCACTTCTTGGCTTGGAGCTGAATAACTCCCATCATTACCCCTATCCCCACACAACATTTTCCTGTGTCTCTGCCTTCAAGTGGCTTTCTTCTTGTAAGGACACCAGTCATCCTGAATTAGGGCAACCTCCTACTCCAGCAGCCCCTCATTTGACCTAATTAAATCAACAACAACCTTATTTCCAAACAAGGTCACATTCTGAGGTACGGCGAGTTTTAGGCCTTTCATGTGTGTACGGTTTTTAACGGGGACACATTTCAACTCATAATTAACTATAAAGACCAACTCATTGATGGGGGAGAGCTATTCTCTCTGTATATATTTATGTGATAGTCTAAATAAGTGTTACAAAACTAAGCAAAGTTTTCATCGATCACCCCTGAGAATTAGTTATCGAAGAGCTTTCTGTCTGAAGTCTGACAACAAGCTTAAGCTAGCCAAAGGGGTTAAACTTAATGTTCTTGGGGTGATGTCTCTGGACCTCATCTCTGTGTTTTCTTGTTGGTCTCAAGAGGTAGGACTCTAAAAAAATACTCATCCCTAAGCTCCAAGTTCTCCCATCCTCCTGATTCCTTTTGTGCATTAATGTCTTCCTGTGTGTTCAAGACACCCAACCCTTTGAGCTGATATGGAATTTACAAGCATACACAGTTCATCTGGTCTACCAGTTTAGAGTAGAAAAACCAGCTAAGTGGAGTAGGAGCAGCCTTTCTGGGCTAGCATTGGATGGGAGAGAGAGGGAAAGAGAGAGAGGAAAAAAGAGTGAGAAACATCGATTTGTTGTTCCACTTATTTATGCATTCATTAATTAATTCTTGTGTGTGCCCTGACCAGAACTAAACTCGCATGCAACCTTGACCTATCAGGTGGACACTCTAACCTGGCCTGAGCTACCTGGCCAGGGTACAGTCCATAGTACTGCACTAGAGCGTCTTGAGGCCCACAGGGCGAACACCAACATGGCAGTAATCTTTTAACTGAAATGTAACCTGTTAAAAAGTCACATTTCAGGGCCATGATGAAGGACACCAGGACACCTCTCTGGGCGGTCAAGAAAGGAGGCAGGACAAAGGGGAGAAAACGAAGACGGAGTGACAAACGAAATATTAACAGATGAAAGAGAGACCAAGGGGCAGGATCTGCTGACTCACCACTCCAAGTCTTCCTGGTGGGTCCTTAATGAGTGGCGGCTGGAACTGGGAAGAAATAGGCTTCGAGGACACCTGATTGGCCAATGAATTACTCCCCTCCCATTGGCTCAAGGGTGCTCTTGAAGACCAGGCCCAAGGATCTGTGAAACAAATTCCTCTCTCTTTGTTTTTTAAAAAAGAAGTTCCCCCCCTTGGGTGTGGTCCAGCTCTTTGGCCCTGGAGCCCTACCAGGGTAGGTATTTCAGATGGAGTTTCCGATTTTGGATTTTCCCAGGGCTTCCGTCTGCGAGAAAGTTCCTCCCGGCTCACCAAACTGGCTGACTTAGGAAGTGGTACGGACTCTCTTCTTTGTCTAAGTGATTATCGAAAGGATAAAGGCAGCCCCATTTGCCTAGCAGGCGTGGGACCTTGTTAAACGTGATTGCCATTTTACTCTCCCCAGCTCAAGAACTGGAGATTACGGGAAAGCAAGAACAGAACTAACCTCTCCCTGTAGCCACAGGCGGAAGATAACAGCGGAAGAAACTACAGCCTGCGGTTACGCCACACAATAGCACCACCTCCACCCTTTTTAAATCCAATCATAGTCCAATACAAACCCAAAGCCCCACTCCTCACAGCTGGTATGTCTCTCCCCACCACACCCCTCCCCTTTCTTGGTGAGTGAATAGAAACTTGATTCCCTGCACTTTCTTCTCTTTGTGAATTCTTTCACAGCCCACATCACGACCAGCCTAACAATTACGAAATTCGTATAAGCGATGGACTCCCTCTGACATCCGAAATGATGTTGTGCTGTGAACATTTTTCTGTCGCTCAGGAGAGGAACCTAGGGACTGCAGGCCGATGTCATTGGGAGTATGTATAGCATCAGGGCTCACGTGTTTCTGGGTGGTTTTCACTCTGCCCTGGGACTCCCCACTTGCCGCACTCATCTCTGAACGTCTGTGAGAACTGCATGGTGCCAGAAACGATCCTCATCTTATTATACATTTGCTCTCTCTTTACAGGAATTCTGTGAATTAAAGACTATTATTCTTGATCACCTGAACTACACACTCTTGGGATGTCCTTTTTGCCATTTATGTTGGTTCTCTGGATGTAATTGGGTTTTGATTGTTGTTGAGTCTTTCTTTGGTGAGTCCTTCCCTCCTGCTGGTTGACTGAGGGTCACTCTGCCCACCATGTCTCCTGTGCTGTTGTGCCAGGCAGATAGGTTGTGCCAAGGCTGATTATTCTGGCTGTAAGGTTATAAGGCTTCTCTCTCACTATTGCTAGTTGTTTGTTCCACGTGGTTTCTCCACAATTGAGTTGTGATTCCAGATTGGCCCTGGGAAGAGGTTAAGTGTGATTTCCACTCACTCCTCTGCCATCCTCCTTCTACCAAGAGTCTTCTCATAACATAGACAACATAATGGAAAACTTAAGGAATAACCACAGTCAGAACACGCTATCTCTGCTGCAGAACCTAGATGAAGAAATAGTTGCTGGCCCTGGCTGGGTGGCTCAGTTGGGTGGAGTGTCATTCCATACACCAAAAGGTTGCAGGTTTGATCCCCGACTGGGGCACATATGGGATGCAGCTGATGGATGTTTCTCTCTCATGTTGATCTCTCCCTCTCAAATTAATAAACATGTCCTCGGGTGAGGATTAAAGAAATAGCCACTGTAGAGCAGAGTCAAATATATGGTGATGGAAAAAGACTGGACTCTGAGTGGTGGACACACAGTGCAATATACAGAGGATGTATTATAGAACTGTACCCGTGAAACCTACATAATCTTATTAATCAATGTCACCTCAATAAGTTTAATTTTAAAAAGAAATAGACATTCTAAGGGTTTTTTTTTTTGTAGGCGCTGCCTCCCAGTCCCAGCTGCATGCCCTCTCCACCCTCCATATTTGCCAAATGAAGTGAATTTTGTGTTAATTATTCCCCATGACTTCCTCCCCCCACTGCCCGCCACTGATAAACGTTCTCCTAAGAGATGTGTTTAGTTCTCCCGGGTTTTGAATTAGAGAGAAGAGATCCTTCTAAGACTTGTTTCTTTTGCTTACTGTTGTGTTCTTCAGACTGTGCCAATGTGAAGTGTGTTTGTGTGAACCATTCACTTATTTCTTCCTGCCTTACAGGATGTAAATGTATGAATATATCACCATTTACCCATTTCACCACTGGCTGGTTTTGTTTCTCAGTTTCTCCTAAGGTGAACAACACTGTTTTGAATATCCTCGTACCTGTCTCCTTATTTCCATGCGCCTGAATATTGAATTTCTAAGAAGTGAAATTTCTGGATCATAGAGGGTTCAGAGGTTACTTACACCTATAATTATAGAAATACAGATCATTTTTATATTCATCAAAGCTGCCATTTTAAACTTGAGAACATTTATTCTTTTCCAGCTTTATTGAGATATAATTGGTATACAGGGGTGGGCAAAACTAGATTTACAGTTGTGAGGACATGAAACACATAGCTTATTCTTGTATTATTAATTAACTATTTATTAATGAAATGTATTACAACTGTAAACCTATTTTTACCCATCCCTGTGTAACAATGTATAAGTTTAAGGTGTCCAAACTGTTGATTTGATATATTTACATACTGCAGTATGATTACCACCATAGCATAGGTGGATACCTCCATCACATCACACAATTACCACTTAAGATCCAAAAGAGCCCTGACCAGTGTGGCTCAGTTTGTTCAGCATCATTCTGCAAATCGAAAAGTCAATGGTTCGATTCCTGGTAAGGGCACATGCCTGTGTTGCAGGTTCAGTCCCCAGGTGGGGTGCACATGAGAGGCAACTGATCAATGTTTCTTTCTCACATTGATGTTTCTCTCCTTCCCGCTACCCCTCCCCTTCCCTCTCTCCAAAATTAAATTAATTAAATCTTTAAAAATATCTGAAAGAGTTCTTTTTTAATTTAAAATATGTTTGTAAAGATTTTATTTATTTATTTTTAGAGAGAAGGGGAGGGAGGAAGAAAGAGAGGGAGAGAAACATCAATGTGTGGTTGCCTCTAGTG